TTAAGCTTTGGGAACATCCTAAATTCATGTGCTTATTTGTTTATTTACACTTTGGTATCTCCAGAAGGATTTAAAATAAAGTTCTGTGGGTTAAAAAAATGCCTAGCCACATAAGGTTTCTGAACAGGTTAACAGGGGCATAGGTAAACTCGGCAATATTAATCAGGTCCCATCTAAGCACACACTCTAAAATGAACACAGTCAACATGAGTGTTCGTGTGTCCGTTTGTGAGGAAAAAAGGACTGCTGCTGAATCCTGATGTAATGTTGCATTTTAGCACATGGCTCTTAACAACAATGAGCATTTGCTTGTTCCAATATAAACACACACACACACATAAACTGCAGCTTGCTTATTTATCTGTCACCTTTCTGTCTGTCACCTCTCTAGGCAGCAGTGGACACATGAAGTCATCAGCCTGCATTGACGTCAGCAACTCTAGCTCCACAATACAGCCAATAGTCTGCAAGATGTTTACAAGTCTGTCTTTCATTCCTCAGAACCTACGGTTATACAAGAGCATAGAGTGTGTGTGTGTGTGTGTGTGTGTGTGTGTGTGTGTGTGTGTGTGTGTGTGTGTGTGTATGCTCCTCTAAGTGGGCCATGTGTGTTTGCACAACCGGACGAAGGGCAGGAAAATAGGTTGAGTATGAGGGCAGGGGTTGGCATTAGATTGTTTAACACTAGAAGCAATATTTTGTTCCAAGCAGCATTCATGAGGCTCTGTTGAATTTGTCAAGGTAATTAACTGTCTCGTCTAAGAGATTTGTGCCTCTTGGTCCTCTTTTTTTCTTTTGCTCTTCCTTTTTTTCCATATCTCAAAACTGGAAGAAAAAAAACATTGAAAGGCTGAAAAAGTTTGAAAGCTTGAAATCTAATAAAAGGTTTTGCAAGATTTTAACTTTTGAAGGCTTGCATAATGTTTTGATAGGCTTGAGAGGCAGAGTGTTTCTGGGCTTAGGCCTCCCTGATTAGAAAAAAAAAAGTTTTTTAACTGTTCGCTGATTTTGGTGAAACTGGATCATATTTTACGGAAAAAATATTTTCTGGTTTTCCTTCTGCTCTGGCTCAACTCTCTGTGACGTACAGAGTTCCCCATATGGACAGCTAATTGTAGCTGCTGTTGGCTAGTTAGCTGTGCAGCCAGAGGCCCTTTTAGCTGATCTCCCTGGACTGAGAGCTTGGAGTACCAGGGAGAGTTCACACCTTAAGCACAGGAGCTTTGGACCGCCGGGACGAGGAGGTTCTCAGGCCTGGGGCGTGGGGGACCCAGCGGGGAATTCTCGCTAGGAGAAGCACTGTCATTTTATGACAGGGAATAAAGTACAGAGGAGATTTACAGCGGCTCCAACCAGGACTCTGACTCCAAGGACGACAAAGACACAGTGGGTTCGTACAGGGACAGGAGAGGTGTGAAGTGGGAGAGGAGCAAGAGGTAGGTTGGGCATCAATCAGCGCCCACCTCTGGAGGCCTGAGAGAGGATAAAAGCAGGGGCAGCGCCGGGGTGCCCGGAGCCAAACCCACAAAACAAAAAGCCACCTCTGTATTGTATTCGTCAAACTGTGTTCAATGGGAGGCTGGAGAGCCAGGTTCCTTTTCCCAGTCCCCCGGTTCTGGTTCTGTTGCCCATTCTGGCACCACTCATTCCAGCAATCCCCGCCCCGGGCCTGAAAGGCTAATAAAATCTGCAGTAAGTTAACTTCCTGCCACATCACAGGACTCACAAGCTTGCGTTGTGTGGGCAAATCTCTGAAAAGGTTTCAAACCTGCAAAACAAACTAGTACACCGGGAGAACAGTGACACATTTGAAACTCTGAAAATGTGCTGCAGGTTTGAAGAAGGGAAACTCAAATACAAACTTACTTGCAGAGATTTGTTTTTATTAAATCAAATGCTTTTATCAGATTTCAAGCTTTCAAAGCTTTTTATTTTTCAGTTTTAAAATATGGCATGATAATCACATAATTTTAAATCCTCTACTAGGCCAAGTCTCTGTTAATTTACGAGACTTGACACACACTTCCACACAGATGGGAAATATCTGATATAACTGAGCAGAGGAATCTGTGTAGCAAAGAGTTTTTGCATTATCTTCCTGTCAAATGACAGGAACAGGCACTCTGTTCAAAGGAAGTGAGCGCACATCCTGTTGACGTCATGATCTTGTGTACTATATCGCTGAACAAACACCTGTTTGGAAAATACTAGGGCCCTAACAAAGCAGCCAAGGAAGATAGGAAATAGTCAGGAAGTTAATTCGGTGTTTCTTATGAAGTTTCCTCCCCAGCTTATAATGAAACCTATCAGTCTGTAAAAGTGCAGTGCCTACAATAATAAAGCATGGCTGGCAGCAGCTCTCAGGGGGAATCGAGTGGGAAAACCCTTTCACTCAGTAACGGTCGGGAGGCATTGACGTAAGAGATGAAAAAAACAGATGGGAGGATGGGGGCTCCCAAAATGGAAAAAGCTCCGGAGTGAGAACAACAATATACCTCTGTCCTATCATCTGGCACAACATACACAAACCGCTTCGCACAGCCAATACATCGTGCACTTGCATATGTACACACTCTTCATAGAACCATCTAATTTTTCATTCTTAAAATAGCTGCAGTAAATCTAACACACACCACACAATCCACCACCTAGATGATATGAACTGATAGGAACATGTGTTTAATTGCAGTTTTGTGAGCAACACTTGCTGCAGAGTGATCTCCCTCACACAAAAAAGAGTCCTGTGTCCAGGTTCATCTGACACATCTGTGAAAACCGAGACCATTACAGTTACATAAGCCTGTGGTATGCAAGGTCACCGATAGCAGACACACTGAAGCATATCAAGGTGGCACAGAATAACGTTACTGACAAACATTTAGAGCCACTGGAGCTATTAAAAATGCTGCTGATACTGTAAATGTCAGTGGCCAGCAAATGTCCACTGCACACTACAGCATAAGCAATAAAGAGCCAAAGTAGCTAGCTACTAGCCTCAAAGATGTTCAGATAGAAAGTATTACTGCACATGATGGTACATTTATCTTGAAAATGTCTCTTCATTTCAACTAAGAAGAAACTATTCACATTTTAATCTCTTGTAACACGTGCCTGTACATCTGCCCTTTTAAAAACATTTTACCTCTGCCATATAGGCTATATATATAATTTTTGTTTGTATGTTTTTATACCCTATAAAGCACTTTGAACTTCCCAGTTGATGAATTGTGCTCTACAAATAAAGTTGCCTTGCCTTGTCATGGATTTTCAGTTTGTCAGTGAGTGTTGAGTAATGGGAAATGTTTTGCCTGAGTCCGCTGCTGTTGATAACTGTAAATGAACAAAAGTACAACTAAAGGTTGAAAAGAAGCTTGAAACACAGATTAAAATGCTTATTGTGAGTACATCATGTAATGAGCCCTTCAAAAACAGCGAGGGCCAGCGATAATCTGTTAATGGATGTCTGAATTAAAAAGCAGTTTATTCTGAAGCTCTGTGACCCTCAGACGAAGTGCTCAGCTGTGTTACTAGGCAGGCGGCCCTTGCATGTCATGAAGTATTGAAAAGCTGCGGCAACTACTGGCCTGATCTCAGGGTTTCGTAACAGAAAAGCCCAACTGTCCCCTGAGAGACACCTACACACAGCCTGGAGAGCAGCGTCTGTCTGGACAAGCTGACACGACAGCACAGTCTGACTCACAGCAGCTCTACACTCCATCTAATGCACCACCTCTGCCTTTCACTGCACATCAGCATCAAACTCTTCTCAGAGGCACCACCATTGGGTTTGTGTGGGTCTGTGTGCCAGTGATCTTGTGCACAGTAATCGTTTTTCTTTAGACTCTCTTTGCTCTCCTCACACTGTTAAGATTAAGCACACAGAAAGTGTCATAAATGGACCCACCTATCATTTTCACATTTCAGGATTCCTATCTGTCTGGCAGCTGGTGGGTGTGTGCTTAATCTCAAAGAACCTGACAGTACAGGTTTATATGTGCTTGGCTGCTTACTCATTTTGGCTTACACTGCTGCTATTAATACTGCTCCTCCTTGGTGTTTCTTATGATGTATTTGGTTTAAACTGGAATTACCAAAAGGAAGCAATTTATACAGACTGATAATGTTGGTACTGTCATTTAAATGTTGCAGAATCTGTGGTAGGACACTAAAAATAGTTGTTAATATCATTTCAATTTCAACAGTGACATAGGCATTAACCAGCTCAGGGGCCAGTCGTTACTTCTGGGATTTGAGCACTATGTACGTTCCTCTGTGAGTCCTTAAGTTATACTGTTAATACTCTGGGACATATTTACTCATAGAAAAAATACGTTACTAATTTACGGTGACCAAAAAGTTTTCAAAAAAAGAGGACAGTGGGCACTTGACTAGGGCTAATGTTACCGTATTCTTTATAATGTCAGATAATTGTATCCTATAGCTTACTGCCGGTATCCTATAATATTAATTCCAGTTAAGGCAGTTTCATTATGGTATGTTGTTTTCATTCATTAGATACTTGTGCAAGAAAAATGGTCTACATGGTGGTTAGTCTCTAATTTGTTAATGCTAAGTGTTAACTTATCAATAAATCATAACCATACATGCAACACATGTTCAACATTTCGAAAGTTTGCTGTAGTACCACGTCAACCTTTTTTGATGTCGAGCCCAATCCAGGCTGCGATCGGTCGGTTCACGAAAAGTGACAATGATGAGCAATGCTCACGCTTGGATAAAAAAAGCCGGTGGAAATGGCAGAAAAGAGTACTGGCAGCTTGCGAGAAGTCCTGGTATGGAAGAAAAAGTCCTGTGTTGCCACTGTTGACAAGCAAGCTGCTGCTCTGTCTCTTGGCTGTTGCTGTGGTGCTGAGGGTAATAACGGAGATGCAGTTTACCAGTGTTTGCGTGAATGACAAGTAGGCCTATATGACCGACCAATGGTGGTGTACGAGAAGGCGGGACCTACAGAGAAAAGTCAAAGCAACACACAAACTCACCCTTTTGATGCCAACTGTAGAAGATGAATCCCGGACATTTTGGGCGATTTAGAAATCCCGGCTGGACGCATTTTTTAGGTCCCAAAAAGAGGACATGTCCGGGAAATTGAGGTCACCCTAACTAATTACACAACTGCAATAGTGACATTACTCATTAAATTACTTTTCTTACTCAGCACAACTCTTTTACAGGTTAAAGAAACACTTTGGTTTAACAAGCACCCAGCCTAGTCCCACTGGCAGCATTCAATTCTGTCCTTACTGTGACACCTCTAATTCTGTACAAAACAAGGTGATTCCTGAATCTAGGTTATGCATGTAGGCTTACCAGCCAATCATGATATCCAGCCAGGACAAACACAGCACTGAGTGTCCAGTAGTTCATTCAACAGGTGTTGAAATGAATGAAAAGCAGCGCATCCGGTAGAAATTAGTGCTGTTAGCGTAGCTTGCTAACTCTTTATAGTTTGCACTTTCTAAGTAGAATATAAATGTAACAACATGATGACAAAGGTTATAAAGGGACAGTCAAATTAAATCGTTCATGGTATGTAGGGAAAATACATCTTGTATCAATGTTCGCAGGGCTGTGACATGCTTCAGTCATGGGGGCACCTTGGAAATTGACAGCATGTCTTCTTGCAACTTCAGCACAGCTGATTTCATTATAGTTCATATTTACACAAAATATCATTCAAATTTCACCAATATTAACAATAAAGTTCTTATTGAAAGCTCTTCCTTAAACTACAACAACCCAAAGTGTCTTTTGCACTTATTTAACACTTGGCTGACATCTGGACCTAGGAGAGAGAACAGAGCAGAAACAGAGACATGAGTATTCAACATTCAGTTTCTCCAAAGACACACTGCAGGAAAACGTGGGGAAACAATACACACATTTTGGCAAGTGCAAACTGTATCCGCCTACCCCTCCCATTAGTGCAAAGGTTAGTTTCAAACTGCTGTGCTCCCCCTGAGGGGTCTGAGTGTGACGCAAGAGAGAAATCAGAGCAAACAGCTGCTTTGACCTCCATTTGTTTGACTTTTTATTCTTTCTAATTCAGTAATTCAATCACATACTCTTTTGCAAGTCTGTCTGTCAATCTATATTCATTCCAGCTATCTATGTCTGCCTCTGACAAAAATTAATTTTCTTTTATCTATTTTCTATTTTCTTGTGTAACTGCGGGAGAACAGTATGATAAAAGACGCAGAGAGGAGATAAGAGCTTTCATAAGATGACATGCTTGTGATTTATATGTTTTGACAGGGGAATGACGCAATATGAGAAAATTAAAACCAGGACGTGTTCTTGCTCTCCACTGCCTCCTTCCCCCACTTCACGAATTCATAAGAACCCTGTGATTCCTCACAATGTTCTCCATTGTGCTGTGTTCCTGTTGGCTAAAGAGGCATTTCCTATCAGGATCCCCTGAGCAAACTGTATGTTTTTAAGGGGAAAGTCATCTAAGCAGGGATCAGAGTTACTGTGGAATAAGTCTGATGTTCACCAGGTGCAGTCACGCAGAAAAATGTCTCACTCCATTTAAAAGGAAAGCGCTCAAGTGAAAACGAATAAACAGCTGCTCTGTAACGTGATATACCTTTGGCAGGAGCTTTGTAACAGTAAACGGGTGTGGGACGTGAACATGGAGACAAGGTCAAGTTTATGGCAGTAGAGCTGTTTCACTTTACTTAAATATGTAACTCTTTAAGGAGCATACTGAGCCATGTATGTGCTAGCTGTGGTGAATCAGGAGCCCAACAAGAAAAGAAGACAAGTTGGAAAATGGGTCATTTAAAACAGGATGCTTTTCATGGATTAGGATTGTAGTTTAATTATGTTGTTTTACTTTAGTTATTTCATTTTGATAGTCTGTCGTCATGTGTCATTTTGTTTTACTTCCGGTCTTTGTGTGTTTTCCCCAAGCAACAACCTCCGGGTCTGAAAAGTGAAGGCAACACGGAAGTGCCTTAAACACGCATTCTTTCTTATGGCCAGCAGGGTGCGTCTCCACTGGTTGCAAAAAGAAGTCCGATTGGGTTGGAGTCAATGACAAAATGACCCTACTTCTCACCTAATTTATTACCTCAGTAAACACTTTCCTAATGAGTTTATGGTCTCAATCATTAGTCTTCTTCAAACCAAAATTAGCATCTCAATTAATATCACAATTACAGATTCACTTTACTAAACACCCTCTCGTGTGTTTGTGATTTTTTGGTTTTATTGAACTCCATGTCATTAGCTGTGGTGTTCTTGCTGTGTTTATGGTACAGATTCAGCAAGGCAAGAGGTTTAGCATGTAATTTATCATTGTCACCATCTTTATTTACAATGTTAGCATGCTAACATTTACTAATTACCTGCAAATATGGAGCAAATAAATTTACAGTACACCTATAGCCAGCGCAGGAAAAATGTCAAATGCTCCCTCTAGAACACATTTATTATTTTCTTTGTTTAGTTTCTGCAGCTTTGAACTCCTTGTTCAATTTTGCTCACAGCTTTTTTTCCAGACAGCAAGAACAAACCTGGGAACTTATTAATATGCAGCCGATGCACAGACGCCTGAGAGGTTCACTAGTCAAAATGTATTCTTCATCATTAAACACTGAACTGTTCTATTTTCAACCCTTAGTGATTTCCCTGAGAGCAATGGCAGTGATAACGCAGAGCTCAAACCATCTGGAGCGCTGACGCAACTGTAACTTTCGAGGCAAGGGGTCATGATTGCAGGAGCCAGGTAACTCTCGAGTGAAATGCTCAAAGTGCTTTTACACTATTGACACATCTGCATTCACCATTCACACACATTCATTGCCAGAACAGCCACCAGAGGCAACTTGGGGTCCAGTATCTTGCCCAAGGACACTTTGACATGTAGCCTGGAGCCGCCGACCTTCCGATTAACAGGCAACCCACTCCACCTCCAGCCGCGGAATTAGGTAATGGTGGCCAGGAAATGTGATGGGCTGCACCAGCAGGGCTGTTACTGACACTGGCACCGAGGGACAAGAGGCCTGAGTCTAAATAGGTGGCATAACTGCAGGCAACAGCCCAGTGACGAGGGTCCTCCGTCACTGCCAGTAGCTGTGCACTGACTTAGAAACTGATGGTCAATATGTGCCATTTAGACAGGGACATGTCATTCACACCAGTGTATATGTGTGCGTGTGTGTCACTGTCTAGCGAGTTGACAGGCACATCTATTACGTCTTTCCTGTGGATCTCAGTAGCCCTCATCTGATTTCATACACACTGAAGAGGAACTTGACACTAAACTGTAGTCTAATAACTAAAATTTCTTTACAAGTTGAGACTTTTTATCATGAAGTGTTGGAACTGACATGATTTGTCATAACTAGGTGAATAAATGCCAAATCCTGTATAAAGAATAGCATGTAACAGTAAGCAGCTGAACATGTACAGTATGCAGCTGTACCCTTTTACACTGGACAAAACACCTGCTAACATCTGACTTTTGTCTTCATTGAGAAAGGGTACAATTGGCATTTATTCCCGGGTCAAATGACTGCAGTCAGATATTTGAAGAGTCATACCAGAATAGGTGCGAAAATCATGTTTACATCACCCCGGCTTCATATCCACACGAAAAGTGGGATTATTAGGTCCTATAAAATAAATAAATAAATAAATAAACAAAAACTAAGGACATTTACTTTTTCATTTTAGTTAGTTTTGCAAACCTACAGTACAGTTTTAGTTATCGTTTTTTTTTATAAAGCCTCGTTTTTATTTTAATTTCAGTTAATGACAATGTTTGAATGTTTGATCAAGTTTCTCTTTAACAGACTTACAGGATCTTTTCTTTTCATCATAGTGGCGGAAATGGGCTTTCATACCCCACCCCCCACCTGTAATGTTAAATAAAATAATTTATTTGGTTTTAAAAGGAAAATTCACCCTCCTTGATTAATATATTTAGTCACTCAGGCCTGAGGCCAATAATTAACCTTTAATTTTGACATTATAATCAGTTGGCAAAGGAAGCATTGAAAGGCTGAGAGGGAACTGGAAGTGCGTCATACTTAATTCCAAAGTGTTTTCAATCACCCAGTCACTCCCTGGCAGCAATTTGTGGCGCCTCAAATGATTGTTGATCACCATCATCTGAAAATTGTGTACGTCAAGAAGCAGCCAGATCTGAGAATTTGTCCATCCAAACCGAAAGGACATGAGCACAGACCAAATGACAAAGATTATATAGTATTGTATTTACTAAATATTAACACATTAAATAGGTAGATTAGGTTGTAGATTATAGGATATTATGCTGGTTATTATCAAGAGGGCAGAACAAGAGTGGGTTACGATCACATTGAGAGGTGAAACTCAGGTCAGTTTAACCCCTGAATATGTTCCATGCACAAGCAGATTTGATTTAAACACATGACTTCTGTGTTTGTGTGTGATAATTTGACTGTAATATTGTGGAAGGATGGATAGATGGATGGACGAGGTACAAATAGAGATTAAAGAAATACATTGTGGAAAGTAATGGAAATACCAACAGAGACAACCTTTTTGTTTAACAAAAAACACTGCATTACTCTGTTCAAAGCCACTAGACTAAAATTACTGTTTGATAATGGAGCCTGGTGATTATACAGTATATGGGTCACAGTTGGCTTTGAGATATGTATGGGATTATTTTCCTATCTGTATTTAAAGTGGTCATATTATGCTAATTTTCAGGTTCATAATTTAATTTAGGGATTGTACTAGAACAGGTTTACATGGTTTATTTTCAAAAAACATTTGAACATTTTTGTCATAGTGCACAATCCTGCCGCTCATCTTTTAACCCTGTGTTGAACATTCTGTTTTAGCCACGGAGTGAAGCATCTCACTTCAATCTGATCTTTGTTGGCAGTTGCAAATGCGCACAATCTAGTTAAGGACTACTAGTCGATGAGAAGCAGATTAGGGCGGTTCGGTAACCTCAGTTTGGTTCAGCTGTACATTAGTGATAGGGCTGAACGATTTGCGGATAAAAATTTAATTGAGATTTTTCTGCCAGATATTGCGATTACAATTCAATTTGTGATTTCTTTTATTGAAGTTTTGCTAAAGTTCAATATTCACTGCCAATCTATTTTTGACGGAAGCCACATCAAGTAGCACAGAGTAGATGAACCAGGCAGGAAGTCAGACCCAGAACGGCATAGAGAATCCGGTCAATTTTCAAAATAAAACACCCTTTGCAGACTCCCGATGGTACATCAAAAATCATTT